TCGGAGCGCCCCAGAGCCTGGCGGAGAGGCCTGGAGACAGAAAATGCGACGGATGGGCTCCCTGTGGGACCCTCTCGGAGGGGGACTGCAGAGATCCTGGAGGAGGACGTGACACTGACCCCCCTCCCCACCCCGTGTCCCTCCCCACCCCGTGCTCCCTCAGGGGCTGGCTCAGAGGGTTAGGACCCCAGTCCTTTTCCTGTCTGGGGAAGGAGGAGCAGATGCTAAACATCAGTGTTTATCCAGCAGGGCCCAGTCTGCCACGCGTTATGATGATGATGATGATGATGATGATTATGACTGAGTGGTGGTCTCTCTCTGTCGCCTATTCTAGAATGCAGTGGCACTCCTGGGCTCAGGTGATCCTTCCACCTCAGCCTCCTAAGTACCTGGGACTACAGGTGTGAACCACCACGCCCAGCTAGTTTTTAAAAACTTTTTTGTAGAGACGAGGTTCCATTGTGTTGTCCAAGCTGGTCTCCAACTCCTGGGCTCAAGCAATCCTCCCACCTCAGCCTCCCAAAGTGCTGTGACCACAGGCATGAGCCACCATGTCCGTCTGGCTCACAATGATTTTTGAAATCTACATTAGAATGAGAACTCAACCTTCTCAATAACCCTCTGACATAAGTATGAGTGTGCACTCTCTAGGTCGGGGAAGCTGAAGTGCAAGGGTAGGTGAGGATGCCCAGTATTTAGGAGACACTTGGTAAGTAATGTTCAAAAGTAACTGTTCAAAACTCAGGTTCGTCCTGTATTTTCCATTCCGTTGGTTCATTCACCCGGTTTCGATATGAATTGGGTACCCATGTGTGCCAAGGTCTGTGCTAGGGACTGGGGGCGCTGGCACAGTGGGTGGCCATGCTCCCTGAGTGTCAGGTGGCAGCACGACCCTGAGGGTGTGAGCTGGCTTCTGGATGTCAGAGCGACACTGCTGGTGTGACAGCATTCCTGCCTTCCTGGCCTGTGAACATGGATAAGGAATAAGGCTGGTAAAGTCCAGAGGCTTGTGAGAATGTGCTAAGTGGATCCAGGTGATGTGCATGGAGTAAGGCCTGAGACACAGGGAGTGCTCAGCCAACACTAGTCACGGCTATGGCAGGGAAGACAGACACTGAACAAGAATGCTCCTAGAGCAGAGTGCCATGAAAGGCAAGGGACCATGGGAGCAAAAGAAGGAAATGGAGGAGTGAGACCCAGGGAGGAAGGGAAACGTTAGGGAAAATTTTAAGGCGAGATGGATGAGAAAGATGGGACCAGTTGGACAAGCAAGAGCTGACAAGAGCTGGGTGTTTGGGGAGGACAAATGCTCTAGAAAAAGGGACAAGTGTGTTGAAATCCACAAGAAGGCTGCAGAAGGAGGGTGGGAAATCTAGGGAGGCCGGGGTAGAGGGAAGGATGGGGCCAGGGGACTCGGAGAGTTGAGCGGGCCAGAGCTCAGAAGCCTGGAGACCTTAGTTGAGCATTTCCATCTTTATGTTGAGCCAGCAAAAGGTCGTGAGCAGAGAAGTGATGTGATCGAATGTGCCTAGGTAAAGAGTTACTGTGGAGGATTGCTTGAGGCCAGGAGTTGGAGACTAGCCTGGGCAATAAAGCAAGACCTCATCTCTAAAAAGAAGAGGAGAAGAAGAAGAAGGGTTGGATATAAATAGATTGGAGGAGTCAAAAGTGGATCCTGGGAGCACATGCCCCAAAGAAGGGACTCAGCAAAAGCAGGGACTCAGATACTTGTACTTGCAATATTCATTGCAGCATTATTCACAATGGTGGAAGCAACCCAAGTGTCCATTAAAAGACAGACGCATAAGCAAAATATGGGATGTTACTCAACTACAAAAAAGGAACAAAGTTGTCATATGTGTTAAAACATGGATGAACCTTGAAAATATGCTGCTGGGCTCCATGGCTCAGCCTGTAATCCCAGCGATTTGGGAGGCTGAAGTGAGTGGATTGCCTGAGCCAGGGGTTCGAGACCTGCCTGGGCAACTTGGCGAGACCTCATCTCTACAATAAAATAAAAAATTAGCTGGATGTGGTAGTGCACGCCTGTGGTTCCAGCTACTTGGAAGGCTGAGGCGGAAGGATTGCCGGAGCCCAGCAGGTCTAGGCTACAGTGGCCATGAGTGTGCCACTGCACTCCAGTCTGGGTGACAGAGTGAGACTCCAACTCAAAAAAAAAAACCAAAAAAGAAAATATTATGCTATGTGAAATAAACCAGATACAAAAGGAAAAGTATTGTATGATTCCATTCATATGAAATATTTAAAACAGGCAAATTCATATAGACAGAAAGTAGAGGTTATCAGGGGCTGGGAGGGGCCGGATGAAGAGTTATTGCTTAGTGGATACCAAGTTTCTGTTTGGAGGGATGAAAAAGTTCTGGAAGTAATGGCAATGGTAACACAACATTTTCAATGTAATTAATGACACCGAATTGTACACTTAACAATGGTAAAAATGGCAAGCTTTATATGTACTGATCACAACTTTAAAATGTATAGTGTAATATACCAAAAACCAGTGCATTGCAAACTTTAAATGGATGGTATGTGAATTGTATCTCAGTAAAGCTATTTTAAAAAACCAAACAACAGGCTGAGCATGGTGGCTCATGCCATGTAATCCCAGCACTTTGGGAGACTGAGGCAGGATTGTTTGAGCTCAGGAGTTTGAGACCAGCCTGGGTAACATAGCAAGACACTGTCTCAATTAAATAATAATAATAATACTCAACAACAACAAAAGAAGGGGTCAGGGGAGATGTCAGGAGGTGAGTGCAGGTAGGAGTGTGCTGTGCTTTGGGCTGGCACATAGCAGGCACAGAGAGGAGGGGAAAAGTGTCCACATTGGAAAGGCATCTAGAAGGCAGATGGACAGCCTAATGTGACCAGGCCATTGTCACATAAGAAAGAGCAGTCTGAAGGCCAGCTCCCTGGCTTACCTGCACTTTGTTCTCACCCCCTTGCTGTTAAATCAGATTTTATTCCTATTCTGATCTTCCTGTCTGAACTCCACACTTCCAAGGGCCTTTGTGCTCCCCACTAGATGGAAACCAATACCCTCCGTCCTGTGTCCCTCTCTCTGCATCTTATAAAATCACTCATGTAAACTCGGAGGCACTGCAACAAATCACAGAACTGGAAAGTCAGGGAGGGTGTACAGGCTTCAGAAAGAGGGAAATCCCTGTAACCCCTGTGAAATCAGTCTGGGACCTGAAGATGAATGATCGTTCCCTCCAAGGCAGGCTTCCCCTAAACTCTCTTGTATGATGGAATTTGCAAAATAAAATACAGTTATAGCCACTTGATTATTCAGCACAGTTACAGAAGCTGGAATTAAACTAAATTCAATCTGAAGAAGGATGAGCCAAAATAATGTGTTCTCAAAATATTGATACTCACCATAACCCTCTGAGATAGGGAATAACCAGGACCAGTTACATCATTTACTGGTCCAGGGTAAAACAAAATTGGGGGCCCCTTGTTCAAAAATTATCAAGAAACCCAAGAGGGGCTAAGCGCAGTGGCTCACACCTGCAATCCCAGCACTTTGGGAGACCAAGGCAAGAGGATTACTTGAGTCCAGGATTTCAAGACCAGCCTAGGCAATAGTGAGATCTTGTCTCTACAAAAATAAAAAAAAATTAGCCAGGTATGGTGGCGCACACCTGTAGTCCCAGCTACTCAGGAGACTGAGGCCGAAAGATAGCCTGAGCCCAGAAGGTCGAGCATGCTTTGAGCTGTGATCATGCCATGGCCCTTTAGCCTGGGCTACAGAGTGAGACCCTGACTCAGGAAAAAAAATAGAAAAAGTTCTAAGAGGGTAACAGCATGGGCTTGCCCTAAGCAACTGCCCAGGTTACATGAAGGTAGTCCAGATCCTATCAATAACTCAATTTCTCAGTCTTGCAGGACATTGTAAATTACAGGGCTTCCTTCCTGCCTCTTTGCCTTCTTATGAAACAGTCACTGAGGCTGGACTTGGTGGCTCAAGACTGTCACCCTATCATTTGGGGAGGCTGAGGCAGGAAGATTGGTTGAGCCTAGGCAATCTGGGCAACATGGCAAGACTTCGTCTCTACAAAATAAAAATAAAAAAATAAATTAGCCAGGTGTGGTGGAGCATGTCTGTAGTCTCAGCTACTCAGCAGGCTGAGGTAGAAGGATTGTCTGAGCTTGACTTTGAGACTGAGGTGAGTCACGATTGTGCCATGGTACTCCAGCCTGGGTGACAAAGTGAAACCCTGACACACACAATCTCTGTACCTTCCTTCCAGCTCCAAGTTCCGTCTGTGTTTTCTTTCTCCCTTGAGATCCTGGCTACTTCTCTCCTCACATCTGATTTATTATCTGTTATTTTGGAAGATGTTGGTGAGCTCTGTGCTCAAACTGCAACTCTGTGTCGTCTCACCAGGGCATCAAGGCAAGGTTTTTGGCTTCGAACAAGTGGGCTGCAGTTGTTCTGAGAAGACATATGCCATTATCTGTCAACCTCGCAGGAACCAACCTTTCAGCTCAGGACAGTGAGGCTGAATGTCATCGAGAGCTCAAAAGCCTTATTTTGAGAAAGCAACAAATGGTGGTTTGTTTCTAGAGCTGGCACCACAGAGCCACATCGATTGCAAGGAGCTTGCTCGGAGGACTGGGAAAGTGGGGAGTGCACTAGAAAGCTTGTATGGGGAAGAGTGGCCCTAAAGCCTACAGGAGGCTTTGAGGATTATGTGCACAGCTGTGGTCTGATTCCCGCACCAACAACCCATCCAAGGTCCAGGGTATCTCTCCAACAGTGTCTACTCGTGTTCAAATGGCTTCTCAAGAAACCTCAGATCAAG